ATGAAATATCCATTTTTGTAGGTCAAAAACAGTTGAATATTGGCAACTAAAAAAAATCTTGTCCCGCTGGGGTGGGTCAGTGGTTGAGCATCGACATATGAACCAGGAGGTCACAGTTCGATTCCTGGTCAGGGCACATGCCCTGGGTTTCAGGCTCAATCCCCAGTAGGGGGTGTGCAAGGGGCAGAGATCAATGATTCTCTCTCATCATTGATGTTTCTACCTCTCCCTCGCCCTCTCCCTTCCTCTCTGAAATCAATACAAATATATTCTTTAAAAATCTTTTGTTTGTATCCCATCAAATAAAAAATTCATAAAATGGGAAACACAATTTTGGAATTAAATAATGCCTCTGCATTCTAACAACTATTTATGCCCTACTTAAATCAGAATATATAAATGAAGTAGTACTGACCTGTGTACACAGGCAGGAGTACTTGCCAGAAGCATAAAATGGGAAACACAATTTTGGAATTAAATAATGCCTCTGCATTCTAACAACTATTTATGCCCTACTTAAATCAGAATATATAAATGAAGTAGTACTGACCTGTGTACACAGGCAGGAGTACTTGCCAGAAGAGTGTGTGTGTGTGTGTGTGTGTATGTGTCTGTGTGTGTCTGTGTGTGTCTGTGTACCTTTAAAAATGGCTGGGGCTGGAATTACAGCCAGCCACCTTTAACAGGCTATATTTTTAGGATTTTTACAAATGTTAAAGTCTTCATGAACTGTGATTGTGGATAAAAACTTACTGCCACCTGCTGGATTTGAGTTAAGAGTTAAAAGGTAAATATGCATCTTTTTATTCAGATATCTTAAATACAATTTATTAGTACGTCCTCTGTTCATTTTAATTTTAAAAAGAAAATAGATAAATATATACTTACTAGAAAAGGATTGCATTTAGGGGGACTTTCTCCATTTGATTTCAATTGAAGGGGAAAATAATATTCATATTTATATGCATTAGATGGCATTAAAGTTACATTTTAAGTTTATGATTATATGGCTTTTCCTTTAATTTCCACAATGGTTTTATTTTGAATAGAAATGTATCCATTTATTTGTTAAAGAGAACTTCAGGAGTTGGATCAGTATAGGTAATTATTTCTCTTATATGTGTGCAGAATGCTGAAATAAAGACCATCACGTGCACCTCACAACTTTCCTTCACAATTTTCCTTCCCTTCATCCCAAGCTGTATATTTTCAAGAGCCCTTCTTTGCTATCTTAGAAGAAAGGGGTCTTCCTAATTCTTTCCAAAGTTAGACCATTTGATGTTACCCTACCCGCTGAAATGCATTATAATTACCTTACTTAAATCTGTGTTTCTTAATGGTTAGAGCATTGGTCTACACACTGAAGGGTCACAGGTTCAATTCCCAGTTAAGGGCAAGTACCTGGGTTGCAGTTTCCATCTCTGGCCCTGTTCGGGGCCTGTGCAGAAGGCAACCAATTGATATGTCTCTCTCACATCAATGTTTCTCTCTTTCTCCTCTCTCTCTCTCTCTCCCCTCCCTCCCTTCCACTATCCCTAAAAAATCAATGGGAAAAATATCCTCAGGTGAGGATTAACAAAAATAAAAAGTAAAAAGAAATAAAAATGGTGTTCATTATTAAACCAAATTAAAACATCCTGCAGGCCTTCTGCAGTATCCTAATATTATATGTTTTCTGTTGATGATTTATTCTGGTATTACTATTAAAACATAGGTAAACTTCAAAATATGTTTTTCTCCTTTCTCCTGATTTATAAATTTACATGTCATATAGTTCTAATGATTATATAGTCTATTAATGACAATATTTATTCATTTTAGAACTTAATAATAGAAATATTAAAACAATAATAATAAGTGGATGTGTTTCTTATGTACTTTTTAGAATGTTTAAGTTGCATTTTTATATTGAGTGGTTAATTTTTTTAATAAGTGAGAAATTTCAAAGAAAAAGCATATGGTCACAAATTTAAGTATTTACACTCAAGGCCCCTAAATAATAGACTTTAAAATTTATTACTATAAATTAAATGAAATTTCATGGTTCTCTTTCATCATTCTCATTCAGAGGACTTGTAATATCATCATTTTTGTCCAAAGTGGTTCAGAAAAAGGATAAGCCAGAGAAAAATAATTTAAGGATTCAGTATACATTCTGGTTTTGTTAGAGGCAATTTCTGAAATACCTGAAAGTTTTTGAAATGATGTCTAAGCTATAATTCTAACATGAAACTGACAATAAATCTATAAATTTTCTGATCTCTGATTATAAAGGCAGTGACAAATAAAACATTCAGTACATAAACACTTTAAAGCTATTTATTAACTATTTCTCTCTATTTGGTATTGTCATCACTGTTTGAACTATCAGTGTCATCATAAATAGAAGTGTTTCTTATTGAAGATACCATCACATCTATAATTCCTTTTTTGGGGTTTTCTTCCAAATCAGTCTGTATTGCTCCAACTTCTGCTAACTTCCATTCAAGTTCTGCAATAATAACCCATCATTAAATTAGATTAAAATCTTAGAAAAATGAAAAGAAGAATTTCTCATCTATATGAAAAGAGTTGATTCTAATAAAATTAATGTGAAAAGGGTATATTTTTGCTGCAATATACATATTTTAATTCAAAATGAATTGACAGTAATACACCATAAATTCTTATTTTGACACTCACCAAAATAGTCACCTGGAAAACCCGCTTTTTGTGACAAAGTACAGAAGGCTTGGTCACATTTAAATCACTGAGAACTAGAGAGAAATACTATCGCAAACCGTAATAGACATTACATCCATAAAAATTTTCCCAGTCCTTATTGTAATATTGCACAGTGCAATTGCTACATGGCAAACTAGTGTAGCATAAGAAATTTTGGTTACAATTTTTATTTTAAAATGATTGAAAATAAGTTGTTTGAAAGTTCAAATCAAGAAGCTAAAAAAAGAACAATAAAGTAAACCCAAGAAAATCAGAAAGAGGGATATACAGAAAGAAAACACTCAACAAAGTAGGAAAACAAAGTAAGTAGAGGTGACCAACAAAATAAAAAGCTGGTGGCTTGAAAAGACTAATAGACACACCTCACACAAAAATCGTGATAAGAAAAGGGGGAAAAAAACAAATAATACCAAGAATTGACATGGGACATAACCAAAGTAAAGATTTTAAAGCTCTGAGACTACTTATGAAAACACTAATGCCAATAAATTTGAAAACTTTAATGAAAAAATTTCAACAAAAATATGAAATACCAAAATATATCCAAGAGAAAAACTGTAAAGAATTGACTTGATAACCCCAAATTCCCCTATTCCTACAAATTCACCATTTTGTCAATTTTATTCCTCAGTACTGAGTAGATGAACAGAATATGAGAAAAATTACAAAATGCACTTTTAAGGAAAATTACAAAATATATTACATTACAAATATATAACATATATATATGTTATATTTATGAGGAAAATTATAAAAGACCTAAATAAGTGACAAGAGATATCTCATTCGTGGATAGAAATATCCACTGTAATTAGGATATGATGTCTCTAACAATTACTCTAATAAATAATCACAGGATTTTTCACAGAACTTGACTGATTCTAACATTTATATGAAATTTTGAAAAAGACTTGGCCTACGAGAGACAACTAGATTGTTATAAAGCTAAGACCATCCTATATTGATTCAGAGATAAGCAAATAGTAGAGATGTCAGAAACAAACTAAAGTATTTTTGAACCATAAAAAATAACATAGGAAACATTTAAATCAGTAGGGAAAATACCCCACACACATTAAGATGGCTACAATAAAAACAAAACAAAACAAAACAAAAAAAAACAGAAAATAACAAGTGTTGGTAAGAATGTGGGACACTTGAATTCTTGCACACTGTTGGTAGGAGTATAAAATGGTGTAGTTAGTATGGAAAACAGTATGCTGTTGCTCAAAAAATTATAACAGAATTACCGTATGACTCAGCAATTCTACTTCCAAGTATATACCCAAAAGAATTGAAAACAGGGACTAGAACTGATTATTTGTACATCATGTTCATAGCAGCATCATTCTCAATAACCAAAAGATAAAGGCAACTCAAGTGTCCATCAACAGATAAATGGGTAAGCAAAATATGGTATAAAAACACAATGCAGTATTATGCAGCCTTAAATAGGAAGGAAATTCTGATACATGCTACAACATGGATGAACATTGAGGACATTAAAGAATACTGTATGATGCACTTATACGAAGTACTGAGAGTAGTCAAATTCAGAGTCAGGAAGTAGAATGGTAGTGGCCAGGGGCTACAGGGAGAGGGGAGTGGGGAGTTACTGTTTAATTGGTATAGAGTTTCAGTTATGCAAGATGAAAGTATTCTAGAGATGGATAATGGTGGTGGTAGCACAATAATGTGAATGCACACAATGCCACTGAACTCTATACTTGAAAATGGTTAAATAACTTACTTATTTACAAAATAAAGTCCTGGGTATATAATGTATATCATGGTAACTGTAGTAAATAATACTGCATTATATATTTAAAAATGTTTAAGATGGTAAATTTCATATTATGTATATTTTATGGCAATTTAAAAATATTTTTAAATATTTTTATTGATTTCTGAGAGGAAGGGAGAGGGAGAAAGAGAGAGAAACATCAATGATGAGAGAGAATCATTGATTGGCTGCCTCCTGCATGCCCCCTACTGGGGATCAAGCCTGCAACCCAGGCATGTGCCCTTGACTGGAATCAAACCAGGGACCCTTCAGTCAGCAGGCTGACTGACGCTCTATCCACTGAGTCAAACCAGCTAGGGCTAAAAATATTTTTAATATACTAGTAAAAAAGCCTGGACCAGATAACACATTATTCATGATAGTGATTGTCTCTAGGGAGGAAAGGAGGGAATGGTACTAGGAATGGAAATATAGGTAACTTCAACTATATCTGTAAAGTTTATTTCAGCAATTTAACAAAATAGCTGAAGCAAACATGAACAAATGTTCACATTTGTTATTTTTGGTAATTACATAAATGAGTGCTATATTATTGTTTTTCCTATTATTTAAAAAAAAATAAGTAAAGGAATGAGGTCCAAGCTGAAAAAAACAGGGTGATAAAACAAAGAGAGCCCTAGAGACTAGGAGAAGGAAAGCGGGTAATTCAGGAACAATTAAGGTATTGGAGGCCTCAGTAAGGCCAAAAACAGTTTTAAGGGAACTAAAGAGTGGATAAACTAGCTGTTAAAAACAACCATTCACAATGGCTTTAACACAACGGTAAGAGAAAAAGATTTGTATAATATGAAATTAATGCAGTTCCAAGTAATAACTTGATGAAGGATATGGCCTCAGAACTAAGTCAGGAAGTAAAAATCATTAAGGAAGGTAGAAATATCAAGTCCTGTGTTATGTACTATGAAAAAGAAAATAATAGGATATATGGTCCTTGTGCTTATTAGGGAGACAAAATTCAAAGGGAATTAATTAACCAACAAAATCAGATAGTATGTGGATAAGTTAAAAGTTAGTTGTATAGAGAATACATGCTATAGAAATTCAATAGAGAACAGGAAGACAGATTATGAATTGGTCCAAAATCATATCATGGGTTAAATGGAAAACTAGGAGACCCATGAGGGAATAGGATTTGGAAGCAAGAATAAAGAGTAGGTTATTTGGGGCACAGGGAAAGAGTATGAAACAAAATATAAAGGAACAAATGAGTGTGTCTGGGGTAGTGGTTGAAGTCCAGCCTGGCTGCACAGAAACTGGAAAGCATTGAGAAACACAGTTAGATAAATGGGCTGAAATTCTCAGGCAGAAGATTCCGAATTTTTAACTTATTTGAGACAAGGAACCAATAAGGACTTAAGGAATTGGGTGTTATGATAAGAATATTATTATAGGAAATTAATCTAGAGGAATACTGGAAGAAAAGGAAAGCAATCTTATGGAAATAAACTTTCATGATATTTGTTAATTTAGTGAAGTTTCACCTCTTTTTTTTCAAACAAATTTTAAAAATAATATAATTACCTTCTAGCTTGAGATTTATTCCTCCACATTCTATAATTCCAATGAATTTGCCTTCTATCTGACCGTTTTTATAAACAAAAATTGTTGGTAAGCAATTATCATGGTAGTGTTGAATACAGCTATTCACGATGGCTTTTGTAAATTTAGTTTCTGGAAACTTTCTTGCTAGAAGACTAAGATGCTGATTAACCAACAAACACATTGGTATGCTAAAAAGAGAAACAGTACATACATGATCTTTAAAAAACAAACTACTCATCTCAGTCTAATAAAATAAGTGAAACATCTCCATAGCAAAAATATATCTTTAGATATTCTTTTAATAAGCCCGTATCAGTATTGTCCTCTATTGTTACCTTCAGTCCTCTGATTTTCATTATAAACACCAAACAGCCTGGGAATAAAGCTAGCTACCATGGGAATTTGAGGCCTAACTAAGGCTAACCACATCTGACTTAGCATCAGTTTAATCAAGCCAGTTCCTACTTTATATGACACTAGAGGCACAGTGGACAGATTCGTGCATCGGTGGGGTCCCTCAGCCTGGCCTGTGCCCTCTCACAATCTGGGACCCTTCAGGGGATGTCAGACTGCCGGTTTCAGCTTGATCCCTGCAGGGATGTAGTAGTGCATGAAGTGGCAGGTGGCTGGGGAGGAGCACGAGCCTGAGCCCGGGCCAGGCGCTGTGCAGCTGGCCCCACTGTGCCTGTCACAGCCGTTTGGTAGAGCTGTCATGGAGGTGGGAAAGGCTTGCGTCTGTGAGCCTGGCATCTGGCGCCCGTCAGTCAGCCGAGCAGCGCTCCCTCTGTGGGAGCACACTGACCACCAGGGGGCAGCTCCTGCGTTGAGTGTCTGCCCCCTGGTGGCCAGTGCACGTCATAGCAACCGGTCAACCTGTTGTTTGGTCATTTGGTTGCTTAGGCTTTTATATATATAAATAAGAGAGAGAAAAAAAATGACACTTCTAGGGAACCCATGGCAGTTCAGAATTGAAACAAAGGAATTCCAACTCTTATCACCATCAAAGGTTTATTTTCACATGAGATTATCAAATCCAAAACTCCTTATCTCCAACTTCCTTGTTTTTCTTGACTCTAACAAACATCACCCACACTTTTCCTTGACATCCCACTCCATACCACATTCTGTTCTCCTTAATCCAGAACTATTCCTCATTAGAAATTTAAAATTGATTGGAAGTGTAACCAAATCCTGTGATTTTTCCTGCTTTATCACTTATCTCCAATTACCTCCATTTATCCCTTTTCTCCCAGTCTATCATTCACTCACAGCTTTATTAAAATGTTTCAAAGCTAGTCCTCTATTCATCCCATACTTCTTGCATTTCCTATGGGACTTTTCTCTGTTATTCTGCTTCCCTCCTTTCCTATTTTCTCAATCTTTCCTTCTCCACTTTACATAAACACATTCAAGTCAGTAAATTTTTTAAAATTCCCTTACAACTCTCTGTCCCCTTCTAATAACTACTCTCTCTCCTTCTGTTCACAGCCCAGATGAAAAAGAAAATAAAAATCTATATGTTCTGTTCACTTCCATTCTTGAAAGGCCCTCTTATTTGGCTCCTGGGAAAATACTTTCTATTGATTTCCTTTTTATTTCTTTGACTACCTTCTCCTATCTATGCCTCAAACATACATGTTCCTTGGGATTGTGTTCTGAACCCTCTTATCAGTTCAGACACACTCTCTGGGCAATCTTATCCATTTTGATATATACAGTTAATGAACTTCATTTCCCCTCCTCTCTTAACAACTAAAACAAAAATCTAATCTTTCTCCTCTATTTTCTTTTAATAAACCTAAATTTGCTAGAAGTGTAGCTTTCCTTTTTGTCTTTGTACTCATTTCCCCATCATTCATATGGATTATATTTGAAATAGTGTATGAGAAGAAAAAGATTAGTGTAAACTATGTTGATCAGGGAAAGCTCCTTTGAACAGATAAAATTAGTTTTTTCTCTTGGACTCCCTTTGTATGTCTTTTCAAAAAATATTTTTAAAAATAATATTCAATGTTTAATTAACCTCTTTCATGATATCATAGAAGCATCCTATTTCCCTTTAGTATTTTCAACTCCTAAAACCTGTCACACCCATAGTCTAAGCTCACTTACTGAGTGACTCATGCCAGGGCACGCTGCATGCTCCAGGCAGATGAAGACCCTTCTAGACTTTTGTGTGCTCTTTCTGTTTGTGGGACAAGAAAAATCATTTTAGTTGTTGTGAAAATCAAATGCATGCTTCATGAAAACTTGATAAAAGTTACTAAGAAAAAAATGATGGTTAGATGTGGGCCAGAAAAATGTAAATGATCAGAGAAAAATACAGATTTCTGCACTCAAATTGCTTTGCATGTATTTGAGTTTTTGTTCCATTTAAACAAACCCTGATAATGGAAATCAATGAAAATGCACTAAGTTCTAAGTGAAATAAGCCAGTTAGAGAAAGATCACATGATCTCACTCATTTATGGAATATAATGAACAACATAAACTGATGAACAAAAACAGATCCAGAAACAGAAGCATTGATCAGACCGTCAAACCTCAGAGGGAAGGTAGGGGAGGGTGGGGGTAAGGGGGAGAGAGCAACCAAAGGACTTGTATGCATACATATAAGCATAACCAGTGGACACAGACAACAGGGGGGTGAGGGCATGAGTGGGGGTTTGGGGGGATAAGGACACATATGTAATACCTTAATAAAGAAATTAAAAAATAATAATAAATAAATAAAAATTATTTTTAAGTGTAAAAAATGCACTAAGTTCTAATCAACGTCTGGGAGAGGAATTTTATATATTATTCTCAATATATTTTTACTAAACTTGTTTCACAAATTTCAACAAAGTGTGTGCAAAAAAAAATGTATGTCAACATTATAAAGGCAATATATGACAAGCCCACAGCTAACATCCTACTCAATGGTGAAAAGCTGAAAGCCTCTCCTGTAAGATCAGGAATAAGACAAGGATGCCCACTCTCACCACTTTTAATCAACAGGGTATGAGAAGTCCCAACCAGAGCAACTAGGCAAGAAAAAGAAATGGAAGGCAACCAAAATGGAAAGAAAGAAATAGAAGTATCACTACTTGCAGGTGATATTATATGTAGAAAACCCAAAAGACTCCATCAAAAAACTATTAGAACTAAAAAAGAAATTCAGTAAAGTTGAAGGATACAAAATCAATATATAAAAATCTGCTGCATTTCTGTACACTAACAAACTATCAGAAAGATAAAGAAAACAATCCCTTATACAATTGCATAAAAAATAACTAGAAATAATCTTAACCAATGAGAAGAAAGATATATGTATTGAAAACTACATTAATGAAGGAAATTGAAGAAAAGAGCAAATAAATGGAAAGATATTCCATGCTAATGGATTGGGAAAATCAATTTTGTTAACATGTCCATACTACCCAAAGCAATATACAGATTCAGTGCAATCCCTATCAAAATTCCAATGACATTTTTCAAAAAAATAGAACAAATAATCCTAAAATTTGTATAGAACCACAAAAAATACCTGAATAGCCAAAGCAATCTTGAGAAAGAACAAAGCAAGAGGCATCACACTCCCTGATTTAAAACTATACCACAGAGCTATAGTAATTAAAATAATGTGGTATTGGCATAAAAACAGATACAGTGGAACAGAATAAAGAGCCCAGAATTAAACCCATACATATATGGTCTATTATTTTATGACAAAACAACCAGCCAAGAAAATACAATGGGGAAAGGACAATCTGTTCAATAAATAGTGCTGGGAAAACTGGACAGCCACATTTAAAAGAATGACATTTGACCACTATCTTACACCTTAGACAAAAATTAACTCAAAATGGATTAAAGACTTGAACATAGGACCTAAAACCATAGAACTCCTCGAGGAAAACAAGCAGTAAGCTCTTTGACATAGGTCCTGCCAATTATTTTTTTAACCTGAAACCAGAAGCAAAAACAACAAAAACACAAATAAATAAATGGGACTACATTCTACTAAAAAGCAAAGCAAAAGAACCATCAACAAAATGAAAAGTCAATCGACTGAATAGGAGAAAATATTTTCAACTCATATATCTGATAAGGGGCTAATATCCAAAATATATAAAGAACTCATACAATTCAATAGCAAAAATACAACAAGCAATTAAAAAATGGGTCAAAGATCTAAATAGGTATTTTCCCAAAGAAGACATACAGATGGCCAACAAGCCTATGAAAAGATGTTCCACATCATTAGTTATCAGGGAAATGCAAATAAAAACCACAATGAGTAATCACTTCACCTGTTAGAATGACTGTTACAAAAAATACAAGAAATAACAAGTGTTGGCAAGGATGTGGAGAAAAGGAAACCATGTTGGTGGGAATGTAATTTGATACAGTCACTATGGAAAACAGTATGGAGGTTCTTCATAAATTAGACATAGAACTACCATATGATTCAGCAATTCCACTTCTGGGTTTTTAATTTGAGAAAATGAAAACACTAGATTAAAAAAAATGTACCCCTACGTTCATTGCAGTATTATTTACAATAGCCAAGATATGGAAACAACCTAAGTGTCCATCAGTTCATGAACAAATAAAGAAACTGTTATATATATACACACAATGTAATACTATTCAGCCATAAAAAAAGAATGAAATATTTCCATTTGCAACAACATGGACAAACCTTGAGGGCTTTATGCTATATGAAAGAAAGACAAGTACCTTAAGATCTCTCTTAAATGTGGAATCTAAAAACAAAACAAAACAACAAAAAGCAGCTCACAGATACAAAAAACAGATTGGTGGTTGCCAGAGGTGGAGGATGGAGGTTGGGAGAAATGGGTGGAGGTCAAAAGGTTAAAAAATACTTCAAAGCGGAGAATTACACACACACAAAAATCTTTATCTTCATCTGACATATACAAACATACATTCATTTACTAATCTTTATACTGGCCCATGGGCTGCTCATCGGAGTCCCCCTTAGCTTTTCTCATCTAAACTATACCATAATGCATTGTCTTTATTTTCTTAGTCTTGCACCCAGGCCAAAAATCGCCTTTTCTTCTACAACATCTAATGTTGATTAGATTGATTCTACCTCCTTATCTCATACCTAGCCTCTCCTCTCTTTCTCCACTGCCTTACTCCTTTTCTTTCTTATCTGAGCTATGTCAGATTGCCCTGAATGGTCTGTTTCCAGGCTTAGTTCTCCAAATTCATCCTTGACCCTGCTGACAAAGGGACCTCAGTATGAAAATCTCATCATGTAACAACTGCCCTTCCCTCAAGCTTAAAATCCTTCAACAGCTCTCACTGCCTTCATGATAAAGTCTGGGCTCCTCAGTGTAGCTTTCAAGGTTCTTCATGTTCTGGCTTCTGCCTGTCTCTCCAGCATTATTCTCTGCCCGCTATCATATTACTTAAAGCACTCCAAAGCAAGATGATGTCTCTTATTTATGTATCTTTGTTCAAGCTGTACACTCCACCTAAAATATCCAATTCAGCCTGTCTACTTCCTCCACCTCTGTAAACTTGGGGGATCTTTTCTTATTTTTTGAGGACAGCACCAGGGTAGAACTTAACTACTCCCTCTTCAGTGCCCTCACTCTATAGAACTCAACCAAAGCACACAAAAGACTTTATTACTACATTTAATTGTCTCTTCTCTAGTGTACTGAAATTTCTTTAATGGCAGAGATAGATGCCTTATATATACCTCTGCATCTCTAACACCTACAAAATCTTCAGAAATACTCTTAAGATAATTGATGTTATATATCAATTTATGGAGCAAGAGGCTAACAAGTTAAATGACTATATGTTTCATTTACACTTCAGAATTCTTTTGGTAATTTTAACCTGCTACAAATGTAGACACTGCTTTATTTTAATGAGTGGCCTACTAAAAGTAACATTAGAAATGCATGTACTGCCTAACTTAAATATTAATTTTCCAAACAAAATTGCCATAAATTGACTTTATAAGTTTTGGTTTTCCTCAAATAGGTGAACTTAATTCACTAATATCAAGTTTAGGTTACTTTTATCATTACTATCAGAATGAGAGCTGAGTCAGTGGTATAATAAACACAATGAAGTGAGTGGTGTGACTGGCAGAAGGCAGGCGGGCACTGGTGGTGGCAGTGAAGAGTATGGAATTAAGAGAGTATGGCATAACAGACTGTGGTACAAGGAGACAGTAGCTCCTTGAAGACAGTTATGATAGCAAGTGGTAGGGGAACAAATGTGGATTTGGGGTTTGGGGGCCAGAATTAAACTCCATGAGAATTATAAAATATTAAGGAGACCTCTAACATCAGAAAACAAGTGAAGAGTATAGTTATGGTATGCGAGATTCAAGATATGCAGTTAGGTATAAGAATAATACAGAAGTTCCTCCTCCTACCCCGCCAAAGTCAGAATTTGGGCACAGATATAAGATTTCATAAAATCAGAAGCAAAGCTAATTTTACGCTGAGCCACTAGGGTCAGTGGCCCAGGGTTAGTTAGATCCCTCTAAGGTACTCTATGTAGGCTGAGTCTTCACTTGGATAAGGAATGGGCCCAGTTCTAGAAATTTAGTGGCAAAAAAGTATTAAAATTATAAAACTTAGGAACCTAGTTAAAAAACAAACTCTTACCCTCCTAGAGTTACAAAAGGCAGCTAGAAATACAAACTTATTAGTTATGCTTCATTTTATAATATTAAATTATAACTATTATAAAGAATATTATGCCCTAGCTGGTTTGGCTCAGTGGATAGAGCGTCGGCCTGCGGACTCAAGGGTCCCGGGTTCGATCCCGGTCAAGGGCATGTACCTGGGTTGCGGGCACATCCCCAGTAGGAGGTATGCAGGAGGCAGCTGATCAATGTTTCTCCCTCATTGATGTTTCTAACTCTCTATCCCTCTCCCTTCCTCTGTAAAAAAACAATAAAATATATTTTAAAAAAAGAAAACTAATATTTTACGTAACTTTATTATATTGCCCAAAAGAACTTCTGAGCTCACAGATACTTAAAGTATTATAAAAATGGATCCTTAGACTTTAAGTCCATCAAAGCACATGGCAGTTTGAAACCTGACACTAAAACTCATTCAACCTCTTCTATAAGTTTTTGAAAATTATTGGTCAAAACCAGTAATTTATCTAGAAATAACCATTAAAATAATTTTATACCAGGGTATGGTAATTCAGAACCAACATCTATTCTGCTTATCATAATGGGTTTCAGGAGAAACATTCAGTGTACCACTTCAGTATATAACATTTATGACACACAAATCTTAGTATTGTAAATGTTGCTATTTCATATACTTATTTGTGAAGGACCCACATCAGCAAATCTCCAAATTGGGTTAGCCAGATAAGTGGAATAGGATAAATTGGAAATTATTATTTTTAAACTATTAAAAAATTATTTACCAAGCATTTTAGTTACAGTAAAATTAATGTCTTCTTTTATGGGGTATGATTCCTATCAAAATTTGTCAGAGGAACTGGTGAGCTGGTAAACAGCAGGGCTCTAACTTGCTCTGTATAGAATTTCTCTGAGGACCTGAAGAAAGAAGATATTTTTTATTCAGAGAATGAAATAAGGACAACAAGGGCTACTGCCCCGGTCTCCGATCCTGGATCAGGTTAGAGCCCAAGCAGAGAGAGGGCTTGGGACCTAACACTAGAGGTGCTGTTTCTATGAGAGATTTGTGAAACTGGGAGGTTGCAGCTCCTCTTTGACAGAGACTTGGGGAAAGTCCACTCTTCGCAATTATCATTATACCAGGCTGATGAGACAGGAGGACATATGGATTATACTTAGTACAACTAGGTACTCTAAAACTAACTGGGGGAACAGGGACATGCAAGGAAATTGTTCTGTTAAAAGAGACAAGAGATATGATATATTCAAATGCACTGCCTGAGCATTGATTGGATTCAATTAAAAAATATATCCTATCTAATAAAAGAGAAACATGGTAATTAGCCGTACCTCCGCTACCCTTCCCATTGGCTAATCAGGGCGATATGCAAATTAACTGCCAGCCAAGATGGCGGCCGGCAGCCAGGCAGCTTGAAGCGAACAGGATGCTTGCTTGCTTCAGTGACGGAGGAAGCCAA